TAAGAAATGTAAATTAGATAACCTAGAAATTCAACCTTGTATTTACCTACCTATCCTAAATAAAAATCACCCAAGAAAGTATTTTAGCCTAGTGTGCCTTAGTCTTTTATCTTCTTCTAGACTTAAATGTTTGCCTATGACAAGAACACTCAATTCTTTATAATATTGTCAATGATGGTGAAAATAATGATTTTCTTTTTTTGTCCTTGCAATTTGTAATAGTACTCAGCCTGACTATGATTTATTATATAAAAAATTGGCTGACTAAAGTCATGGTTTCAAAAGACCACACCAGTATGCAATAACCACATTAGAATCATAGCTTCACTATGTAAAAAGTGCACAAAAATGTGACCTATAAAGCCTCTGATTAAGTAATCAATATTGAATGTTTGAGGAAAAAAGCTGTCAACATTTAATATATTACAAAATAATAAACAGTAAGATTAAGCTCTTTTGTGCAATCTTCCATCCTAAAATTTTTCAGATATAAACCTGATCTGAGCTATTTCAAATAGCTGTGACAAGTTAATACAGATAGAAAGAAACAAAAAAATCATACAGAAAACTATGAATTACTGGAAATTAGGTCAAGTCCTACCGTCAGAACCAAAACAAAGAACAGGTACTTCCTTTGACATTTCAGTTTTCAGGAAAACATTTCTTTGGGAGAAGATGAGGCTGCAGGCACCCCTTTTCCCAGCTCCTAATAATGTGAATTATCCCCCAGGTCATATGGGAGAGGAATGGACATGTTCAAGGTCCTCTCTCCTTTCTCATAATGCATATGCTTCTGGTTTTTAGCATGGTCTTTAATCACTAAACCACCATGGCTCTAGTATGTAATTGTGTACGTAAGACTGGGAATTAAGAGTTCTTGCTGCAATCATAATTAAGAATGTTTCTGTTGCTTTTAAATATCATTGTATGGAATTGCTCTGTGAGCACTCCCAGGTTTTTTTGGTTGTCTTTTAAACAGAAGACAAAGAGTACATATGAATATTCTGAATACTGATCCTGTGTTAGAAAAAAAAAAAAGCAAATAAATCATAGGCAGTTCAGGACAATATTTGGGATTGTTAGATATATCCCTCAGATGGAGATATTTTGAAGCCTGGATTCAAATATTTCCAAGGATTAAACAACAGACTACAATGAAACACAGCAATATTTTTTAGTGATCAATAAATGATTTCTTCTGGTAGGAACAACGTTTTTACACTCAGTCATAAATGTGATCTCCCACTACAGGGCTTTTTGTTACTCTGTAAACAATTGTTATTTGCTACCAAAAATTTAAAATTAACTGTAGTTGGTGAAGCTAAGAGAAATCATTAAACATAATCTCTGTCATAGTAATATTGCATCTGCATGTGTTAATTACATGCTGTTCTTAACATCCACCACAAAATGCCAAATAGCTTAGCGTATTAGCCTGGATAATCTTTGCATGCATTCATAAAAGAATGAAGCCAATGATTTGGTTGACTTCCCACACTTATTAGAGAGGCTCAAGGTCATTTTAAATAATGATTTCAAGGAAATGCAAGTCATGCCTAATGCACATGGGACTAGGTCATAAAAAATATTTCGTGCATAAAGGTACCATTGCAAAAACATCAGCTCTATGCACTGAGTAAGTTTTGGAAAACTAGTCCTCTATGATCCTGAAAGCCTCTGCTCAGCTTTTATCTAACTCCAAAATCATCAGTTATTGACTTTCAGGGTCTGTAGACAGACATATTTTCTAGTTTTGCACATTCCCAGGAAAGCAAGTTTTGATAGACTGAGCAATCCATCAGCCAGTTCAGGCCGAAGCCTGACCAGACCCAGAACATCAAGTGTTCCTCAACAAAGATCTCCTATGGGGCTTGATAGAATCATGGAATCATAGAATCATTTAGGTTGGAAAAGACCTTTAAGATCATAGAGTCCAACCATCAACCATGCCCACTAAACCATGTCCTGAAGTACCCCGTCTACTCGCTTTATGAATACCTCCAGGGATGGTGATGCAACCACTTCCCTGGGCAGCCTATTCCAATGTCTGACAACCCTCTCAGTAAAGAAATTTTTCCTAATATCTAACCTAAATCTCCCTTGCTGCAACTTGAGGCCACATCTTGATGCACCAGACATTTTCAGAGAATGCTTAAAGCAATCCCAAATGGTTGCCTTTCCAATATAATAGAGCCACGGCCTTCATTTTCTTTTTAATTCTGAATGGAGAATGTATTTATGGCCATGTTTTGTCTAAAAGGCTAGACTTTAGAACAAGTAAGACACATAAACCCTTTCTCTGCGTGGGCCATTTGAACTCATCTACCATCTCTCAGGCGTATGTCTTAAGTTATGTCAAGTTATTCAGAATGGGTATAGAGATGGTACTCTATCCTCCTCTATTGAGATTCTACTATTCAGTGAAAATATCTATATTAATTGCAAGAAGAAGAGTTTTTACTTAATAGGGTCTGAGTTTAGACCACTGTATCAGTTTCACCCTCATGCTATCCAGGTTATTTATCTAATCATTTTCTTCATGGAAACAATCAAATATTACTGACACAAATTCTCTTAGAAGAGAAAAAGCTTTTCTATATTCTTTGAATTATACTCTTTACAAGACCAGTTCTACACATTGTAAAGCATGTCCCTTGAGCCCAGAGGGCCATCTGGAGTGTTGAAAGTTCTCCCTTCCTTTCCTCTGACCTACTTAGGTCCAAACAAGAGCAAAATGAGAATACTCATTCGTAACATTTCTCTTTTCCATATTCTAAGATTCCTTACTCCCCCTATAAAGCTATATGGCTAAATATGGCTCAAAGGAATTTAACAGAATAACCTGGTTTCTAAATTGATATTAAAAATGTAAAAGTTTAGAGAGAAAGAGAGGTAATTTTTTAACAAACTTTTTTTACTTCATACCTAAAACATTAGATCAAAATATTGCAGGTATAAAGGGGGTTCAGGTTCTCAATTTTTTTTTTCTTAAAAATAAATAAGAATATGAAAAAATACACACATACTGAAGTGTAGTGTATACCACATTTCATTATAACACCATCAGTTTCAATGGAGTTTCAAAAATACAACTGGCAGAATGGAGGAATCTCATTTCTCTAATAAGCAGATTTTTTACGTAGGTGAGACTGGTGGTCAGGAGGCAAAATTCAGTTCTCAAACTGTTTCTGCCAGCTCCATGTAATTGAAAGCTAATCAACTGGTATCATCTTTCTCACAGCTATATAAATGTTCTGTTTTTCTTGAGCTAAATCCTGCAAAAGTTGAAAGCATTGATTACATTGTAAAAATATACTATAATATATCACAGCAACTTCTACAAACCTTCATCGACTCTGAACTGGAGAAAAAAGCAACGTAAGAACAAGTGAAAATTCCAAAGGTAAGGCATTTTTATGGAGCCTACTCTGTGACATCATATTCTTAAGAAGTGTGGGGTTTGTCATCTTTGAACTAAGACCTTGTTCGTCCAGGAAAGAAAATGGTCCAGTTAGTGACAGATATCCACTACCCCTTTTATTATAAGATTTTTTTTTCCTTTTATTAAAATGGCACTCCTTTCAAGCAAACACTTTCCCTTTAGTGAATGTTAAAATAGATAGCACTGGAGGATTGCTAAGTAGATTATAAGTGGCATGAATAGACACAATTATTGCATCACTGATAAAGAAATTCTTTATCTTTCACTACCCATGAAAAAGACCTTCCAAAATAAAGAAATTTTTCTCCTCTCATACAAAAAAACCTTCCTCACTGAATCCTATCTAGAAAACAACGTTCATATCTCATTTTAAAATGAGGAAGACATTTTTTACTTCCATTGCACACAGTCTACAAGTTTGAACACATTTCCAAAAGATTGCTATGGCCAGTTTTCCAATTTGATGCCACTGGAGTTTGGTGTTTAGTGCTATTATGTTTTTGGTGGATAATGGAAATACTAAAATTCTTCAAATGCTTATAAAATTGGTTATTCTTTAGAGTTGACAATTATATTTTTGTTTTTGTTTTGCTGGTACTCCACCATCCACTTTGCAGTAGAACTTGAAGTATACAAAAAAGAAAATCCATACTCTATTTAAAATAAATATATTCAAATTGGAAATGGATTTAACAGCTTTTTTTGGTCTTCAAATTATGAAAAAGAATTGAAATTAACATGATAAAGAGGAGATTTTATTTAAACTTACAAAGCAAATGTTAATTTTATAACGTGGCATTTTTGTGTTTATTAATATCTGGATATGTGGAAGAGGTTTTGTGCTTAATCTTACAGAATATGTGAAAAGAATACTGGTTTTTTTATGAAGTGGCTATCAATTGCTGGTAAGAACTAACACCAAATCAGTAAAATAAAAATTCAATTTTTTCTTAGAGTTTAAATCTGAAAATGCTTACACTCGAGATAGTCAGTGATAATATAACTAATGTCAGGAGACTGCTGAAATGAGTGGAGTTCTTCATATTCTTAAAAGTCTGAATGATTGGATCTCTAGTGCATTTCAAGGCTGAATTTTTCTAGAGACCACATGTGTAACAGGTTAAATGATGTAATGTTGTATGTACAAAATATTTCACCTACGTCGTTTAAAAAACAGTAATAACAAAAAGAAACAAACATATATATGACTATACTTAATGCTCTGTTTAAATAAGTATATATGGTACATATCTCTATACTCTTCTGTAAATTTGCTAATTCAAGAATACAGGTCAGCATAGAGGATGACATTACTATCAACCTCTATTTGCAGTATTAACTTGTAGCACTATTTATCCAATGTTACTAAAAACTTGAAACAATATTTATCCTGAGTTACTAAATATGTTCTTTTTATTAAATTTATCATTGAAAAGGGCTTTGTCCTAAAAGAAAAGTTTATTAAAATGGCTTCTTCTAATTTTGTACCTGTTTTTTCCATATGACGAAGCAAGAATAATAATAACAGCAACTATAATAAATGAAAAACTGCTCTTACCATGACAACTGGGCAGGGCTCTGTTCCATCCAGGTCTGCCATCATCTCCCATGATACATGTTAGTGTAGAATATCCTTGAAGGACATACCCTGCATCACAGTAATATGTGACAGTTGACCCCAGTTTATAATCCATTCCAAGTCTTGTTCCATTCATTATATTTCCAGGATCAAAGCAAGACTCACGAAGCTTTGCTATAGAGGAAATAAATGTAAACATAATTCTGAATATAATCTAAACCGTTACAAATATTTTCTGGAGTTCTCTCAAGGTCTTGAGTACCCTGTAGACAAATAATGCTCCTTTTATTTTTTTATTTTTTTTAAAGAATCCTTCCATTCTAAATCAAATGTTCTCTCTCCGTTTTAGAGACTGTACAAATTACTCTACAATGACCAAAACCATGTCTCCTATATTCTTCCTAGATAATATCTATAGAGCTCCATTATAAGAATTGTTTTTCCAGAGTTGGCTGTGACTAATGATGTAGTTACTTAGATTAAGTTAGATATATGGACTCTGTTCCAGTAGATAAGACACATCCTAGTTTTAAAATCTGTGGTTGGAAAACTGGTAAGTGGACGTGTGCTGGTTTTGGCTGGGATGGAGTTAATTTTCTTCATAGTAGCTAGTATGGGGCTGGTTTGGATTTGTGCTGAAAACAGTGTTGATAACACAGGGATGTTTTAGTTATAGCTGAGCAGTGCTTACACAGAGCCAAGGCCTTTTCTGCTCCTCACCCCACCCTACCAGAAAGCAGGCTGGGGATGCACAAGAAGTTGGGAGGGGACACAGCTGGGACAGCTGACCCCAACTGACCAAAGGGATATTCCAGACTATATGATGTCATGCTCAGCAACAAAAGCTGGGGGAAGAAGAAGGAAGGAGGGAACATTTGGAGTGATGGCGCTTGTCTTCTCAAGTCACCATTATGTGTAATGGAGCCCTGCTTCCCTGGAGATGGTTGAACACCTGCCTGCCAATGGGAAATAGTGAATGAATTCTGTATTTTCCTTTGCTTGCGTGCATGACTTTTGCTTTACCTATTAAACTGTATTTCAACACACAAATTTTGTCACTTTTACTATTCTGATTCTCTCCCCCATCCCACTGTGGGGGGAGTGAGCGAGCAGCTGTATGTTGCTTAGTTGCCAGCTGGAATTAAACCATGAGAGGAGGAAACGAATAGAAGTACTTTGTTACAAAATAAAAAGTATGCAAACAAGAATTTCTTCAAAATTAATAAACTCCAAATGAGTATCTATATCTGTCCATATGATACACTGATATATTTTCATACAGCCTTTTTTTCCTCACTGGAGGACAAAGCATGAATATATTCCTTAAATTTATCTCCTTTTTTTGTTTTTTTATAGCTATTTGTTTCAAAATATTGAAATAAATTCAAATGTATGCATATCTTTGCTTCCCTCTTCCTTCTATAATGTGAATACCAGTGTGTTTAATATCCAAGACATAACAAACTGCAGAAAAATAACCACTTGGCACTTCTAATTAACAACATTACTATGTAGAAGGGGAGAAAAGGTAAACATTTTGGAAAAATTTGCAATGTTTTTCCATTAAGGAAAAAACAGTAAACATATTACGAAATGGTAGAAGCTGGAATGAAGCAGATGATGTTGTGCTGTGCAGGATGGAGTTTGGAGTAATTTATTTTACCAAGAAGAAGACAGAAATTTCAGATTTTCTTCTTTACCATTTAAGGGTCTTGTGAAGATCAATAGGGAACACTTATTCATTTTCTGCTAGATCAGTGCCAACTTTCTAATATATCAAAAGATGTGACTTTTTACCAGGCATATTTGCACTATGGAACTTTCTGCTACAGGCAGGTACAGCTGCCAAAAGACTGTATGAGCTTTGAAATTCCTGGAAAGCTATTTAAGAGCTTTAAATACAAAGACACTTTATCTGATTCTGGCAGTACCTAAACTAAAGTTTCTGAAAACTTACAGATAATAGAGAGAAAGTATTATATATTTGACTTTTATATAGTTTAGCCACGTATCAGCTATTGGTCACTACTAGAGACAAGCTAATGAACTAAGTAGATTGTTAGTTTGATCCCCTAAGGCCATTTTCCTGTTGTAGTATTTCTGAGAGGAGAGAAAGAATTACATTGCAAAACCATAAATGTACATTTATATTTAAAGATGGAAACACAGAATAATTGTTTTGAAATTTCAACCTCACATCTTCCTAAAGAACATGAGGGTCTCCTAATGTGATTAACAATTTATTAGAATTTGCATATCTAATCTAGAGACCATGCTTCTGATATTAAAAACAGTACAATAACAAGTAATAGTTACATCACATAGTTAATTATTAAGAACAGGTATTTGATATGCACACTGATTCATTTAGTAGCTGTAGTGTGGTGCCTGTAACATCTGCCTCCTGCTCTGAATGGTGAGGCTTCAAAATACAGTGTGACATTACAAAAAGAAAGGCTAAATTCTTTGTAACAATCACATTCAAAAATCTGGGTGGAAAATCAAAAGTTAAAAGATATAATTTACTAGAAAGCCTGTAAGGTATCACATAGATATTAATAATTATTATGTAGGCCAACTACACTGTCACCTGAGAAGTCTGGCAGACTTTAGGGCAAACTGAAATTTCTTTCAAGTCCAAATTCTCAAATTAAAAAAAAAAAAAAAAAAAGTTAAAAAAAGAGATAAGAAAGGATCATTTAATTTAGGATTATAACTAACATTTTGACCATAGCAAGAAAACCTTTTTTCTTCTTACTGAACTGATGTTTATATATTTGTATTGATACACAACTGATATTGTGAGACCACCATTCTTGAGTTTATGACAAGAAATCCATGTTTCATAACTCTAGCAGATCCTTGGATAAAGTAGAGATTATTACTACATGAGAAATTAAAGAGAGGTGAAGATAAAGTAACCTATTATGTCTGGTGCATAAATCAAAAACTGAGGAAAGACACAATCTGTCACAGCACGAATTTTCCCTAGGGAAAAATTACAGCCCTGTAATTTTCTTTTCCCCAAATGTACAGTTGTGACAGACTCCTGAAGTTGCTGACTAAACAGTAACAATGTCACTAGAGAAATACAGTTTCTTAATAACTATTCTGAAAAATACTGAAGCCTTAAATACTTAGCACCTTCAAACTACTTTTGCAAATCTGAAGTAGCTGCTAAGTGAACTTGTAAAGAAAGTCAGTATACTACACTACAATATATGAAGAATGAAGTCAAACGTGGCAAAAGGATTCATCAGGTCTAGCTGAGAACCAGTGAATAAAAGAACAAATAAGAAGACTGTATTAGCAAATTTATAAGAATAAAATAGAAATGCTCTCAGGAGACAGGAGGAAAAGTGCTTCACCATCAATGTCATACTGCTCCAACTGAAGAACTATAGACACTGATGACCCCTGTAGCCCTTCCACTTTCTTTCTCAAGAATACTAGTATCATTAAACTGAAAACACAGAAGGGCAGTGGCAGGTTTAGCAGAACATCAGTGAAAATGCTGGAGAGTGTATGTGCTACAATTTTAGGTGTATTATTATGAAGACATTTTTCTGTATTACTATTTTTTAAATTATTTTCTGTAATAATTAGGTATGGACTAAAAATAATTGTTTCATTAGTTAAGATTAGAGTTACAGTAACATTGTATTCTTGGCTGTGCATACTAGGTGTAAATTCCTTTGCCCATAATAAAATCTTGCAACAAGCTTGAAGAAAAACAGCAATTACTTCTCTGATAATTTTGGCATACCACTGGATCAATTAAGGCTTCTGAAATACGGGCTGAAAACAGGTAACGATATGTGCTGCTGCAATCTCAAGTTCAACAAGGAAGACTCTGTTGGCTAACATATGGTAATGATGCCAAAACCCTCTATAAAACTAGTAACTCAGCACATGGAAAACAACATTGAAAGCCAAGAGAAGCAGGTGCTTTGTCCAGAACTTGATGATTTACTACTCCATCCGTAAGTCTCAAAGAGAACAAAGTCATAAGCATAAGCCACAAAGCTTCTTAGAGAGAACATTACACATATCTAACCATAGCAAACATTTCATAATTATTCTCCAGAGCACTTATTAGAACTAATAAGCTGCTCCTCCATTATAAGAGACAAAGCGAGAGGGAGGAAGGGAAGAACAAAACCCAACCAGAAACATGATTGCAGACCAGACTTCAGACATGGGTCAGGTCTGAGATTTGACCTGAAAAATATAGCCTGTTAATGAAGTAAAACTTGAGTACCACTTCCACTTAAAATAGTATTAGTGTACATATAGGACACAACTGCAGCTGCTACAATCTGTGTGAAAAAGGTAAGTTCATTGAATCAGAACAATTCAGGTTGGAAGAGATGTAGCTCAACCCCCATGCAAAGCAGGGCCAATGTGGGGCACAAAGCATTGAGATAACAATAGATCTGACCACAGCATGTTAAAACAAATTTTTTATAAGCATTCATTATATTAGTTTAATAGTTGCTGGTCACAGTGTTGATTTATTTGCTCTCACAGTTGTTGCACTTGTTCTCAGAGTTGTGTTATCTAACACTTTACTTACTGTATATGTTCCCTGTTGTGCTGTTTATCACCTCTGGGGACTGGGTTAATGTTATCATTTTGATGTACTATGTAACGCTGGCTTATGATATGATAAAATTACTGGTCGTGAGACTAAACTGGTATTTGTACTCAGCATTGCCGTCATCTCCGTACTTCGGGAACCATCTCTTGGAAACTATTAATAATTAAACCCTTTATCTTTTCTCCTTGGAGAGCCAATCTGTGGGGGAGACAAGGGCAGACACCTTCCCCTGCTCATTCACCTTCCCTTTTTCCTTCACCTTCCTCTTCTCCTCCAGGCTAGTTACAATAGCTCCTGAGAATTTTGAACGTCCTTGGGATTTTCAAACCACCATGTTCCTACTGCTATGTCTCCTGAATGTGTTTCAGGTCTTGTTTAAGGTTAAACAAATATTTAAGAATACCACCCAGAGATCTGCCCTGAGGCTGGACAGTTATGAGTGGCAGGGTGCATAGGATAGTACGTCCAAGTACCTAGGACACTGGGTACCTCCAATGTTATGGAACTTCAAACTTTGTGGGTTTGCCAAAGCAACAAATGCATCAGTCTTTCCCTTGTATACTTTTGCATTTACTAATTGCTTTCAGAATAAATGCCAAAGAAAATAAATCCAGGGAGGTTAGGATGTATTGCCTCTATACCAGCAACATCCATATTTTCCCCCAGGTTGTCTTTACAGATTATTGGGTATTTTCATAATCATTTAATATCGAATATTTCTGTTTCTTCAGCCCACAGAGGCAGTTATGAAAGCTGCTATTGATTATGCATTTTAGAAGTCTGTATTTTCTTGTTTACTGTGTTATGACCTCAGAGAGATCTGTCTGAGACAGGTAGATAGCTCTACCATGGCCTATCATACAAAGGCCTAGCCAAAATATTTTTTCATTTTCACTATTGGTTTCCTAGATTCTAGCACATCATTTCATCTTACAAGATCTTAAATGCATACATGCCAACATGCTCTACTATGTAAAGGAAAAAAAAAAAATATTCTTGAAAAAAGTTGTATATATGCTGTTAAGTTTTGTTGCTGCAACATTTTTGAAACCTGTAAACTGCTGCCTGATTTTTTTTTTCCTTTGGAATCATACATTTAACCTTATCATGTATCATCTAAATGAAATCGTATTAGAAGCTTTATCTTAAATTAGTACCCTTATAAGATTATATTTTGTATGTATTGCTAATACACATTATCATACTCTTAGGCAAAACGAAAACATTACCAGGCAGAGAACTATGAGAAATTCAAACACATTAAAATTTATGCTCATGCATTGAATTTTTTTAATAGAAAAGAAAAATAATTTTATTTACCTTTGTACTCCAGATGGAATCCAGTAAAACTAACAGATCCATCACTCCGAAAAGCCAGATGCATGTTATTTGAACTGCTTTCTATCCTCTCTGGCAGCTTGCTATCTTGAAAGCTCCCAATCAGTGGGCTATTACCGTCTGGCCCATCATAGATATAAAGAAAATCATAATTTGGTTCTATACTGAAGCTGTAGAACAAAAAAGAGAAATATTAGATAGAATATGCTTTGCCTAACATTTTCACTCTTACTAGCTTAAATAAAAGTTTACTATCACTGTTTTCATAAAAGGAAAAAAAAAACCCCTCCACTGTCAGAATAATGGTCTGTAGAAGTGTTTTATTAGAAAACAACAGAAATTATTTATTGGTTCTCTGCTTAAAAATGGTATTTTGCTAATGGCTACAAAAAAAAACAAAACAAAAACCCATCTTAAATAGATAAAAATTAATAACAATATTTTTAAAACTTTAGAGAAATAAACAACATAGATCTACTGGAACCCTTAGCAAAAATGCTTTATGATATAATGCAGTCAGCTGCAGAGTAGAGTGTACACAGCTTCCAGTCAGACTGAACACTTTCACACAGCTGGAGGATGATCCTCCAGTAACCCTAAGAGGAAGAAGCATTTTTCCTATAAACAGTTTAAATGAAAAGGTGTAGTATTGAAACCTCACCTTTTCTTTTGAACTTAATTTTAGTTAATTTTAACAATTTAATTTAGTTAATTATGTAACTATACTTAATTAACTAATTAGTTAATTAGTTAAGGGCAGAGAGTTAACCAAATTTACTTATAAGACTGCCTCCGTACAAAAAAGGTTTAAAAAAAGATTGTTAGTAAAAGAATGAAAATCCAACCACTAGAATTATTTTGTCTCTACTTCACACTTCTGATTAAAATAAATGTAGGCATTGAAGACCTGATACAGTTTCTTTAGGGAAAATATTTTTAAACTTTTGGATTATTTAAAAAATATTTCCTTACAAAAGAAATGCAACAGTCAAATGTCAACAGCTTCAATTTTTAAAGTGTCATAGTTTATCTTGAGTTTAAAATGGTTAGCTACAGTAAGTCACACTCAAAAGCATATTTAACAGTACTCAGTGGAGTATCCAGAGTTTGGTTTATACAGGAAGGGTTTTTTTTTCACCCTGGAACAGTCTGTGTGTCATAAGTGAGACAAGTCTTAGTAAGTATGCAATATACTTTGACCAAGAAAAGCTTGTCAGCTTCTGTCAAGAATCATAGCATTGTCCAGATTTTAAAAACAACTTGGCAATATTTGGGATCTATAAACTGTTCACATACTATATTGAGTTGTAGGGTTCGGCGTTCAGAAGATCTCGCCATGTCACGGAAAGTTAGAGGGTTAGTCGCAGCCTTATGATGTGTCTGTAATCCCGCCTATCCTTGTTAGTATAAAAGGAATTGACTGCGCAATAAAAGGCGGAAGTTGGCGCTCACACTGTGTGTGTTATCTGTCTCTTTCCCTGGTCTGGGGGGTGATCAGTGATCTAATCGTGGCACCTTGATATGCAGCGAGCGCTACATTGAGTCACGTTGTAAAATATTGTTTTTACTCTAAGATGGAGATCTCTTATATCTAATTGTACAATATAAAGAGCAGAATATTCTTAAATATTTTGACCTCATGATATTTCACCAAACAAAAGAAAAAAAGTACTACTGCACAGAAAGTTGCTTAGCAACTTTTCAGCATTCTGCAATCACCAACAAAATATTTATATTGTTAATTATGTAAATATAATTGAGTGATTCATTTGCTTGGAAGGAATTCTTCAAAACACATACTATATCACTAAGCACCGAGAATAGACAACTGTATGACCTACATCACTAAACAAGTAATCACATTATCACTGATCAGAACTATAAAGCCACTATTATAGAATATCCAGCATAAGAAGGACTTAAATTTCATGGGACATTACAAGTACAATTTTAAACTTTTCTGTGACATCATCATAGGCCCCAGTTTGGATGCATATTTTTCACAAATAATATGTATATTAATTTACTTTATGGTTTACATACAATGCAGACAGCAGAAGTTCCTCTGTGGATTCTATTAATCTCAATTTAATCTTGCATTGTGATAAAGGAAAATGCTAAACCAATTCTATTTAATAACCAGAACAAAAGGAAGTATCCTGTTGAAGTGTCCTGGAATGATACAGACTAATAAAATTAAATTTAAATACTACTTTTCAAATTTTGCTGAAATAGCAGGTAAACATCTTATACAAAATATGATGAACCAATAGGCTTCATCATTAAAGCCCATACTCCTGGCTTGGGGACAATTCAGTGAGTTACTCCATGCTGCCTTTTCAGGAAGACAATCTTGGTAAATTGAGCACCATCCACGTCCACATTAGTTGGTATAAACTGAGAGTGCTTTTAACTGAACAGGAGCAATGAGCTCCCCAGCTTCACCTCTATGTGTATTGAATACTCTGATGTATTTGTTGTCACTGCTGACAAAGATAACAATTAGTAATCACTTTGATAGTTATATTAAGTATACATATGTTACCCTACATAGCTCTGAACAACCGCCAATAATAAAGTTACAAACCTGACTTTAAAAATTACAAGCAAGTAGCAGTTTACCTGATAAATGCTAATGATATAACATAATCATTATTAACAGTGATAGTCCAGTCACAATCTCTGCTGTGGGGATAAGGATGAGGGAAGTTTGGTGAAAGTATAAAACCTGATGAGCCAGTCAAGTTTCCTCCACAGGGAGCTGTGAATAAAAATAAATTGGAATTGAGGAAACAAGGTAAGAGAAAAAGAAGCAAGTACCAGCAATCTGTTCACTGACATTTAATGTCCTCTAAAAGTTAAACAAGAAACAAGTGAAGTATTTACAAAGCTTTAATAGAAACAAAAATGTATTCACATTCCTCCTTAAACAAATACTAATAATACTAAGTGAAGCACTTGTTTTTGAACTCTGTGTCCTTTTATTTGCTTGCATAACAGTGTAACAAAGCTTTTCTGAAAATACTTTTCTGAAAATGCTTTGGCTGCAGACATAAAAAAACTTAACCGGATACGCTTTCCACTTTCTACTTCTTGTTAAAGGCATTCTAAAAGAAGCTTCTTAGGTTATGAAATACCATCTACTTGCACTGATAATGCAACTAGCTGCATTTTCACCAGTCAGCACTGATTTGTAATTTGGATCAAGACTGATACAATATAAATGAAATTCAACAAAAACATTCTAGTAATTGCAGTTTTCAAACTCAGAGATAAATAGAGTATCTTCCAAGCACAGGCCAAATAAAACAAACACATTTCTCTGAGTGTTTTTGGAGTTCCTAAATGTGTGTTTGTGGTCCAGAAATGTAAATACTTAATTAAAAGAATGAAAGTATCACTACCCTCATGAAGTTTTGTACTTCAGCACTCTTTAACTGAGACATCACATAAGAACAAGAGAATAAGCATATTTTCTAAAGACTTTTTTTGAAAGAACTTCTTAAATTTTATTAAAAATATTCTGGATAAGATTTATAAAGTCTTATCATTTTGCAAAATTTAATTCTGCAAAGTGATCCTCAGCAGTACCAAGGAAAGGAGTTTACTTAGTTTTTTACTTAGTTTTATAATAAGGATAATAATGGCTATTTCTTTTCTTCACAAGATTAAAAATTGGTGTTGTTTCTAACCAGAAGCATCTTTTATTTAGTGTTATTTTATTACAATTCTGAAACAAAGTAAGATGAAATTATTACAAAAAATATGCTTCCTTTAACTGTAAAAGAAGACATTGTAACTTTCTATCTTGCTGAACTAAAAGTTTGTGCAAAAAGAGGAACTGCGAGGTTGTATGGAATGTAAAGGCTGCTCATCACCTGGAACTAGTGTTCTTCCGTATAACCCTATACATTCATGCTCTTGAAGTACTTTAATGGTTTAGGCTGCACTATTTACATATCTTAAGAATGAAAATGTAAAGAGTGCCAACAAGGACGTTAAGGTTATTCACTGTAAACAAGCTTCACTGAAATGACCCCTAAATTATATCAGTCTGATGATATTTTCTGAGGCAGCCTGAGCTTATATATGATGATACAAAGATGTTTACTCAAACTTTTATGTCCTTGTTCCAGACTACTTTCTGCCAATGTCTGCATCCATACTTTCCTAATGTGGTCTTGATTTACTTTAGTTCTCTGTTAAGTTATTAGAATATTTGCATATTAGTAGCTTCTTTCTTATCTACTTACTCTTTCATTTGCACACACTAGCAGTTACTTTTTCTGGTTACAGTGAGACTGGTTCTTTCATTAAATCCTTCCCAAGGTCTAGCTGATAATCAGAAAGACTCTCCAGGGAATAAATGGAAAGTACATGAAGTTGGACAGTCAAAATGTGTTTTATTTCAAGCTATACAATTACCACCAGTACAAAAACCCCATTAATCTTCAACTTTGCAAAATACCTCCCAGGTAGAATTTTCCTCAGATACAGCAGTTTCAGATTATTTTATTTTTTAATTCATTAGATAGTAAGTTGAGAAAGCCAACATCATCTAATGAAAAATGTTATTAGGTGATGTTTCCAGTTTACTATCTTCTCTAAAGTTGTTTACTTTCTTTTTCTGTGTGCTTGAATTAAATTGTGTTTCAGAATCCATAATTTTCTGAATTTAATCTGTGCAACGTTATTAAGTGTCATAACTTTGTTTTTAACTGAGGGCAGACCAGCTTTGAAAACAAAGTTTAAAGAACACCTATCTTTTATAGTATTAGACGCAAGACCTAAGACTGAACAAATACAATAGCCCATCTAGAAAGAAACTCAAATGTCAATACACTATGAAAAATGTATTTTTAATGTATTACACAGTGAAAACTAGATGTAGGTTATGTCAACCTGTCTTTATAAACCTCTGTGTAGACACAGTAGTAAGCAAGCACTGTGCCACACAGTCTGTCTGTATGATGATCTTAGTATTCATTGTTTCTATGGGAGCAAGTACAGCTTGGGTTGTTTTTTATCTAAAATGTATTTAATTTTTCTGGAGGGCAACAAAGTACTACTCCAGAACTTTCTGGCTTTTATTTATTTATTTATTCGCTGAATTACATCTTAACAAAAGAAACAGAATGTATGGTTTCATTAGTTATTTTTTTTTAAATAAGAGATATTAAATATAGAATCATAGAATCATAGAATTGTTTGGGTTGGAAGGTACCTCTAAAGGTCATCTAGTCCAACACCCCTGCAATGAGCAGGGACATCTTCAACTAGATCAGGTTGCTCAGAGCCCCATCCAACTTGACCTTGAATGTTTCCAGGGATAGGACATCTACAACCTCTATGGGCAACCTGTTCCAGTGCTTCACCACCCTCATCATAAAAAAATTCTTCCTTGTATCTAGTCTGAAGACATATTTAAATAATTGTAATATGAATTGAAATATGAAATAACTGCTGAAATTTTCCTTTGCATTAGTGTCATATAGATCCCATTCTGAGGAAAGCACCACTGGAATTCACTGTTTACAAAAAACTTTTCCATAGATATAAAAATGGAAACCAAGACTTTGCTTAAAACAAAACAATAGAAAGAAACAAAACCAAGCTGCAATTAAAAAAAAAAAAAAAAGACCTAAGAATTTCTGAAGAAAGTCTGAAACTTCTGGGAGACAGTCCTTACTTCTCCTAAATGTACAGTAAACCTGAATCCTAAAATAACATTTTCCATGCCAGTAGTTTTAATGGTATCCTTGAGCAAACTAAGTGAATACCATCATTTAAGATTCTGGTATCTAAACAAGATTGGATCTGCGAAGTCTTTGGAATGGAAAACTCCAAGTTATTTTGGGCACCACAGGCATAAGCCAAAGGACTGCCTTTTGGCAGAGACATATTCTCAGATTTATAGTTTGTCGGAATATCTTCAGTATAGAAGAATCTCAATTTTCATCATTAACTCAAATAGTTGAATCAATATTTAGCTCTTTGTAATTTTCCCATTGTTACTACCTTTAAGATGAAGACATTCTTAAAATTGTGTTACAGGCAAGACTGAAGGAATCTAAACAACCAAGGCAGTCCCACAGGTAAGAACAATTAACAAGTACATTTACCTAGTTTTGAGTATTAATTATTAGAAGGTTCAAGAAGACACTTTGGAGTATGAAGAACTAATAAAGTAAGTCTAGAACATGTTACAACAATACACCTCAGGAATTATCCCTGCCTCTTATTCTTCCATCGAAGTGATAATTTTTTCTAAGACTTTGATAAACCACGATCATGTTAAAATTACGTGTAGAGTAAGCCTTGTACAATTTTGATTTACAGGCATGGAAACAACATAAGTGAATATATTTGGAAAAAAACCTGATGACCCTCAGAGTGTACTGAACCACAACAGACAATTCTGAAATTTTTTGGCTTCAGGCCAAGATTTGCACACCCTACTGTAGTCTATTAGCAGCTCATATTCCTCAAAAATGTATCATTATAGGAAATCAATACAAAATAACTTCATGCCTGATATTTAGCCAATAAATCATCATAATAAGCATTCTTGCTACTCGATGTACAGTAGGTGTTTGTGCATAAAGTGTGGAAATTACAAGTATTATGTAAATGGATGCATGCAGTTAAGAAAACAAGTGCATGCATATTTACGCGTGTACGAAGAACAGAATGACAGGTGAGTGCCTACATTTAAACTATTTAATAATATCATCAACTCAGTACTGATAATGATTAAAACTGCTAGCACTGAATAGGGTAATTATTTTTCAGTTGAAAAAGTATTTTTAAACCAGCAATATCAAATAAGACCAGTATGTTACAATACATTCATAAGGCCTGTTCCTAGAGCTCTATCGTTCCTTTTACTTTTTCCCTTAAACACCTACAGATGTTCAATTATCATTATTATTAGATACATATTTAGGCATATAAAAATAATAAGAGATGAGCAATAAAATATTTCTCTTCTGCAGTCTTCCAGCAAATAGTGTAGACAGTTCTTGTCCTAAAGCCCATACACTCACACTACACAGGAGGGCATAGTAAGGAGAGTAAGACCAGAGAAAATAACACTTTGATGTGTTAAGTAGAATAGCCACAGACACCAGGTCAGCACTGAAACATGTTTGCAAATGTATGTCTGCAGACATGCATGGTGTGTGTGGGTGTGGGTGTGTGCATAGGTAAATAGGATGCAGATTTTATTTTGTAACAACTAAGGTCAAGTTAAGTTTCTTAAAGACAAGAGACCATCTGAAAGCTGTACAAGTGCTCCTAGCAGTTGTCTCTGGCTAGTTCCTCCCTGCAGTGTTTGCCCCAAAACCAGACTACCAGGGATAGCCAAGCAGGAGGAATGCCTTTGTGGAGCTGATGTTCTCACAGTTGCAGAGCCCACTCTACACCACTCTGAGCTCAAGGGCTCTTGTCTGATTATTTTAGGTGCCCTTGTTTTACCCCCCTCCTTTCAGACACTCCTTTCAGGAAGTTCTGCTTTGGACAGGACAGTAAGCACAGTATCTCATAATGACGTGACTCAAGGTAATACTGCTGCGACTGGCCTATCCAATATTCTTCCACTTGCACTTCCTTAGAGTGGCCCATTTTCTTTCTTTTCTGCACCATCAAACTTGCAGATCCTATTTAACAGGTTACCTGTCACAACCCTTAGGGAATTTCAGGTCAGCAGCTGCTGTCCTCTGAGACAAAATCTTTCATCATTCTACATCATGTTATCACATTTGACTGCATTAAAGAACATACTGGAAATAAGCAACATTACATTATTTACCAAACTAGCCAGATGGGTAACATCATGATTATTTATCACTCTACCTCTACATCAGGTTTTAGAAGTTGTAGCTTAGATATTTTCTAGATCAATAATGATAATGATTAGGATTGCCTCAGAAAAGATTACTGGAAGGCTACAATCTACTAGAGATTTTTTTTAATTTATTACTTTTCATCATGATTCAGTTACCCATATTAAATGCTTTCAAAATCCATTTAATACGAGCTACGTTAATCAGAATAGCATTAGAGACTGAGATAATATTTCAAAAAATAAACGGTATGTAACAATTTTTACTAATGAAAAGTTGTTCTTTCTAAAATAAGACTGCCAGAGAAATTAGGCTACCATCTTCTCATTCTTTCCTGTTGCAGCCTACTTTAGCCGTTGCATAATTTTACCTGATCTATAAACTTACTGGGTCATCTGCCTGATACGTTGTACGTATGGGCATATGAACTTTAACCAAATCCTCCACACTTATCACCATTTTTCAAGTTTAAAACAAAGCTAATAGTGTCATTGACAGTGATTTTCTTGCTTTCTCTGTCACAGATCATCAAATTATAAATGATACAGCCTTGAGAGGGAAAGGATGAGAACTATTATACTAAGAACTAAAGAGGAAAGATTTTGGTAATGCCTATCAGAGCTTTATACAGAGTAATTTATCAGATGTGCAGTACTTGTATGCATTTGTTCTTCGAAGAAAGTACCTAGAGCAGTGTGATTCATTACACCAGAATTTCAAAATTTAGGAAAGCATTATTTGATTTCTTCTGCATACCTATACAGACTGGTGGGTTGGGCTGCCAGAAGTACCTATTTTCTACCTGAATGCAGGTTATTCTCTCATCTCCTTGCAGTTCATAGCCAGGGTCACACTGAAAAATGACAGTGTCTCCAGGTTCTCTTCCATCCCCATTTCTAGTTCCATTCATGGGGACACCAGGATCACGGCAGGCAGTAGCTACAGAACCTAGCAGAAAAGGGAAAAAATAAAATGCATTTTTAAAAAAAGTCAACTTTTCAATCCATTTTTGCCCCGTTACATTTTTCTAATCAGAAAGCTCTGCAAATCCAAAATTTTCCTATTCAATTCTAAAATTTTGAAAAATCATGCAACGATCTGCTGCTTTTATACTACTAATTTTTGTCACCTGCTTTAATTATTGAAAGTGTCTAACTTTTCATTTAATCTTTTTTTTGAAAAAATTCTGTGGAGCATTGCAATATGTAAAAAGGAAAGTAGAAGATTTCTTAGTATGCTGGACACAGCACTTTGAACTTAGAGGAATTTTTAATATGAATAATGGAAAGAATAGATTAAGAACCTCACGTTGTCCAATAAGCTATGCTTGTACACATCTTCAATCCTCCACAATTCTATAGTTCTTAAATGTATGTATGGTATAACATTTAGTAGCAAATTTGGAAGTGAATTTCATTGATCACTCATATCTATACCCTAGCACATATCTACCATGCTAGGCTTTTGTAATAATATTAAAGAAATCACCTACACAAAAAATATGGACTTAGTCTGAGAGAATATACAGCTACACATAATGCATAAGTACAGATTATTACTAAGACTGCACACACAATCACAATGACTACAAGAGAAGTATGAGAGATTTATAGATATTTTACTTAGGTTTAACATATCATGATCAAAACTTTATTTAATATATTATGCACCAAAATACGTAAGCTTATGTGAAAAGTAAGCATATCAACTGTTTATTTAAGTAAATATGATTTCCTACTTACATTACAGAACTGCAACATGTTATATGTATTACAAATAAATAACAAATGTCAGAGTTGCCTGTGGAACTAGTCCCACTGAGCTCAGCAATCTGTGTAACATAAACACAAAGTGGCAGTAGTAAGATTTAATTCAGATGCCCTCTTTCTGGGGAGCTAACACCAGAAGACAGCAATGTATTCATCTGAAATGTGCGTGGTTTATATATTTACTATGTTTTTGAAGAAGAAATCTTGGTCTAACTAGGTTATTTCCCTAAAAACCCAAGAATCTTGCTTTCCAACACATACTTAATATAAAATAAAAGACTTAGCTCTATAAAGTTATGGGGCTTTTTATGGGGTTGTTTTTCCACATTAAGAAGTTCTGAGTATGGGGGGGGGGGGAAACCACACCCACAACCACCACCACCCACCCCCCAAATGCACTATGACCAGAAGTTAGGGAAATTTCTCGTTATTCCTTGAAGATTAAATAAATATTTTTTTAAAATATTAACTACTGTATAATAAATAAAAGATTTTTTTTTTAATATGATCATGCAAGATTTTAAAATGTCTGTGTCAGACACAATGATCAGGACTCCTGTTTTTATCTTAAAATAAACTGTTGGGTTTTAATTTGGAAAAATATACTAACATATGCAATTACTAAACTTCACTGCACCACACTAGCAGATCTTGCAAATGTTGCATGCAAGAGAATAAGATACTGGAGCTAGATCACACTGGAGTGAAATCTCATCAGATATGAAAAGGTTCATAATGTTAACCTAGGTCAGAAGTAAAAAAGATATCCTTAAGGTAAACTTAGACTGAAGCAAGTAGCAAATCCAGTCACATATTAATCTGCATTCCTCCCTTCTAAGAACACAAAACATGCTATATATTTTGATTAGTGTTGGCCAGTCAGAGCAGTCCATATAGGAGAGAAACTGTGTTCTGCGCACTTAAATACTACCTGCCTCAAATCTTGCTATAAACAAGAGTAACACTCCTATGCCTTATTTAAAACACCCTGAAACCAATTCTAGAAGAATGGGGGCTCATACTTAACACAGAATTTGTAATCAGTCTCGAAGAGCTCAAGAGAGAAAGTTGTTGCTATAAAATTTGTTATTAGCTGTACATCATATTGTTCTTACTAGATTGTATCATTCTGCAAAAGAATTGTATTGGCTGAAAAAGAAGATAAAGGGACACCCAGATCTATTTGAAGTTCCTGATACAAACTATTTGGGTTTTTTTAAACACTTAGTAATAATTATGCAAATTAAATTTATGAGATATATATGCTAAACTGATAACCTTTTCCTTATTTGCCATGTATAATGGCCTTCTTGCATACTTGCATGTTCTTCCAACCTACTTCTTGCTCTTACAACTCTGTAGCCAAATCGGTGAAACGTGGATTGGGTAAGTGGAGTATGAAATGAACGGAAAACAGGCTGGTCTGCAGACTCCAAGAGTGCCCATGATCCAAAACCCAGGCAGCAGCTGATTATCAGCAGTGTCCCTCAGGGGTAGGTCTCGACTTCAACATTGTTCAACACCTTCATTAAAGATGGAGACAATGGGACAGAGTAAACTCTTGGAAAGTTTACAGACACTGAAGGATCAGTTGATATGCTCTAGTGTAACGATGCTATTTAGGGCGACCTCGGTAGGCTGGAGAAAAGGCCTGAAAGAAACTTCATGAAGTTCAAAAAAGGAAATGCAAAATCCTGCATCTGGGACAAATCAATCCCAAGAAACAATTTGCTGGAAAGCAGCTTTGCAGAAAAAGAATAAACTCTTCTTGAAAGTATGCAGCAAAAGCAGAAACAAAGCATTCAGAAGTTGCAACAAGCAAAAATCCAACTGCATAAAAGAAAAAAATGGTTCACTACAAGGGTGATTAAACACCAGAAAAATATTTCCGGGGGGGTGTGTTATCTCCAGCCATGGAGATATTCAAAGCCCTACACAGCCTGATCTGTTTGACTGTTTTGTGACCAGGGAGATGGACCAGAGGTCTTCAGAGTTCCTTTCCATGACTGTTTTTTTAACTTTGCAAATTCATATTAAATACACACAGACTTCCTTTAAAAATAAAAGGACTGCTTTAAGACTGATTTTTGCATTATACCGCTAGAATGCAAAAGACAGGTTCTCAGCTCCCACAGTGGAAGTAGATAAATTGCTATTAAGTCTAGATTTTAGGCTTTTAAGTACTTAATGTCTAAAAGTCTAATTCTCATTTTTCAGAGTTTTTCTGGTAATTTCCAAGGCTCTATTAAGAGTATCAGTTCTTGTTGAAGGATTTATGAAACAGTCAAGGTAAGCTACTACTTTCGAACCAACCATGAAATGTCATACAGAAATCCTCAATAGGCTGATAAAAAATAAATAAATGTATTCTCAATGAATAAAAAAAGAAAGGGAAAGAACCTAACATGCCATTAAAAGCACTAGGATTCATGAAATGATATATTCATTTTTACTTTCTCATAAATCAATAAATATTTTGTTCTGATTTCTCTAAAATCTGTGGGAAATTTTGCTTCTATGTTCTCTGTTAAAATGCTACTTTAAAGAGGCATTTTAAGAAAGAGAGGAAAAAACCTCCATAATATTACTACTACATGATATGTGATTTATTTATTCATGTAGATGTGTGACATTATCTTCAATATCATCATCAGGATAATAAAACAGTGATGATTTCTCAGTGCAAGTACACTGTAGAGCTACAAAGCTATTAACTCAGAATAGTATAGCATAATTTGTCCCATAGTCTTTGGGAATGTGATTAGGTAAAAATAGGTAAAAATCTTGGATAGGTATGCATCCTGAACAAGTCAAACATAGGTAAGTTTTTGACACATCTCTTGCTCTACATCTATATAAAAATCTCCAATATTTTGTTGCTGTTGTTGAGAGCAAGCACTCCAGTCAGTTTTGTATCTCTCACCTCCATTTCACAGTATACAGATATGTCTACAGAGCATTTCAACAAATGCAGCTAACAGATTCAGATACAAAAGTTCAGCTGCCATTTTAATTTCATTGTAATTTTAAATGGTGGTAGAGGTTTCTATATTTATTTATTTATTTTTCTTACCTGTTCCCATATTTTGTTGTGGAAATAACTGAACATTATAGAATTCCTAAAAAAAGACCACTCTCATCTTCTGGTTTTTTTCAATTCATTTTTGAAAGAATACACTAGGAGAAGGTATCCAAACACAGTTCCACACTTACAGTGAGATTAAAGAGTAAATAAATGATGCCTGAAAACCACGTTTCTTTGTAAGCATGTGTCTAAATTCAAACTGCTTAATTAGGAGTGAGATCCATTTAACTTAATTTTGGCCACATGAAAGTTAGTTGTCTTATTAATAGGCTTGTTTCCCAGATCACCTCTACAGTCAATATCACAAGGGAGAAACATCGTCCTGATACGTCAACTTTTTTCATTAAGAGAAAAATCCTGTATGAATAATATATTAGACATGTAACCTCTATCTTAAGAATAAATTTGTTATAATAAATTTTATTTTGACTCACTTGACATTATATATTTGCCTCAAAAATGAGATGGACTTTTTTGTTTGTTTGTTTTTTCGATAAATCAAATTGTCAGAATAAGAATCCTCAAATACAGAAATATCTTTTTTGGGGGGCACGGTTAAAAAATAATGATATACGAAGGAAACTGGAGAAGGAAAATCTCAGTACTGTGTATAATTATAGAACCAATCCATTTCTTGAGAGCCAACATATATTAACAATATATTTAAATGGAATTTCTTTATCACAGCTTTCTGTAATGTCTGCTCTACTCCTTGGTTTTTATTTCATGTGCCTGACTCTAGCCCATCATTACTACTGTTAAAAACTGTGTGTGTTTGTTTGATTTCAGAGAGGATCTCTATTACAATTGTCTTGGTAGGGTGTGCTTTGTACTGCCTTCTCAACTTTCTGTTTGCCTCTTTATTCTGTTTATTTTTGAATATTTCTTTTCATTATATACCTTCAGCCTATTTTTTTTTGTCTCCTTTTGAACTATCTATACTGTTGTACTTATGATGTGTATACTCCAGTACAAGAACTGATTTTTTTTTTTCCTATTATATATTCAGGCACCCCAATTACTACCTTCATCATTCCTGACAAAAATTTGTAGAGTAAGCAAAAAGCTCAGGAATTATAACGTCCCTTACAACT